CCTAGTAATAATATCATTTGTACGGAGCTCTACATCAAATTCAGTTTTACCCTTTTCAAATTCATAATTCTTTTTATCCAACTTAAATCTTTCAGTCAGCTGAGTGTAAGGAAACCAATAGTATGTGAAATGTTTCCAGCTCCCAAGTTTTCTCATTTTTAAGTTAAACTCTCCTTTATAAAAAAAATCAATGTTAGCATAAGTTAACCATTTTTGTTTAATTTCCCCTCTAAAGGCTTCTATAAAGAGATTTTATGACAGTTTTGCCTCATATCTATTCCAAATTCTCAATGTGGATGTTGAATAAAATGACTTTTAAAATCTACATTAACCTTAACTTTGCCGTACCACAAAGCTTTGTCATCCAAATATTAAATCATACCCTTCCAATTCCAATAACCTTTTACTTCTTAAAGTCACCTACTCTTTCATCCAAACTAAACAACAAGCTTACATATAATTTCAGATATGATAATCCTAGGCTCCCTCTTTCTTTAGCATCCTGCAGGAATTTATATTTAATTCTTGGTTTCTTGCCTTGCCAAATAAATTTGGAAATACCTTTTTTCTCCATTGCTTAAATGGTACAATCAGTTATCAATATAGATACCATCTGAAATAAAAAGAAAAATATTCTAGGTAAAACTTTCAGTTTAACAGAAAAACTTTCCAACAATGACAATTGTAATTTTCCCATCTCAGCATATCTCTTTAATTTTGTTCCGAATCTTAACATAATTACTTTAAAACAACATACAATTCATATTAGTGAAACTAACCCCCAAATATTTAACTTTTTTCTCAATTTTAAAACCAGATTTTTTTCATCAAAACATCTTGATCGTGTAGTGTCATATTTTTAACAAATATCTTTGTTTTCTGGTTATTAATCTTAAAACCTGCTACCACACCAAAATCTTTCCATTTTTCCATCAAAGATTTGATCCCTTTCATAGGGGCCTGTAAAATCAAAACCAAATTATCAGTAAAAGCTCTCAATTTTAAAAACTCGTTTTTTTAATTTTTAGGCCTATTAATCCCTCATCTTGTCTAATGTCTCTATTCAAAACTTGAAAAACCAAAGTAAACAACAAAAGGCACAGATCTTATCTTGTCCCTTTCTGAATATCACATGGTTTAGTCAAATCACCATTAACTATAATTCAGGCTTTTGGGGGATGTACTGTACATATCGATTTAATTCCATGAAGAACATTCTTACCATAGTCTAATTCTTCCAGGACTTTAAACAAGAAGGACCAATTTGAATTGTCAAAAGCATCTAAAAAAATTAATGCTGTTTGTTTTTCATCATTCTGTTATATATATTCTGTTACATCCAACACAGTTCCCACATTATCTTTTTACTGCCTTTTAGGCAAAATCCACATTGATCTTCTTGGATAAACTTTCCTAAAAACCTTTTAGCCCATTTACCAAAACTGATGAAAATACTTTATACTCACTAAAGCCTCTCTTTTTATCAGCATTTCAGCTGATAGATTTGATTGATATTATTCAAATAAATGCATATCCCTTTTCAATTATTACTTCGAAAAGAAATTGAAAAAAAACCCCCAAGTTCGGCTATTAACGTAGAGTGAATTGGGTAACATTCCAGCTTATGTAATAAGAAAGCAGTAATAATCATGACACTAAATGTAAAATGTTAGAACAGGAAGAATAGAATTCAAGGGTTTGGAGATCTGAACTCAGTTCTCAGTTGGTGGACTTAGCTTCCCTGAAACTTGTTCTGGCCAAACTTGCTCTTCCTATATCCTCTGGACCACATGGAATGAGGCCTGCTAGCTCAGGATCTTGGGGGTTATAGTCTGACCTATCAGCATGTTTCCAAATTTAAGGAAACTGGACTTGTTCTTAGGTGTAAGATAGAGGTCCTAAAGGCCTGCTATGATGGAATGTTTTAAAGAGTAGATATGGTGGTTTAAAACACATCCAATGATGATTTGTGAGTAACTGCAGGTTTCTAAGATGAGTTTGTGGCATTGTACAATATCTTGTACAAAGGTGAAATGTCCTTTCTTCACCTTCTTTCTGCAGGTGTTCGCTATAATGCGGAGAAGAAGAAGGTCGGTAATTATTACACCACTCCTATTTTCAGGTGGGTGCTTGAAGACAGAAGAGACTATTGTCTTTGGTCAGTTCATGGATAGTGCCCTAATGGGCAGTAGGAAAGGATCAGTCCAGCAGATGGAAAAGACTGCTGATCAGGCTATATTATTCTCTTCTGGGATTTCTCACTTAACTTTCCCAATGATAATCCAAGAAAGGGCAAATTCTTATCACTTAGCCAATTTATGCCACTCTGCATGATTTGCTTTGTGATACATAAATCCACATCTATTAAACATACAAGAAGCGCAAAGCTGCATCCCAGTTTACTCAGTCTCCATCTAGTAACTAAAATGTCACATGGTACTGCTGGAGTGTACTTTTAGGCCATTCCTAAACCCACAATTTCTTAAAAAGTTGAATTATGGCTGCTGAATTCTTTTAGCTCGAGTGGTCAGTAATCCAGAACAAAGACAGATCTTCTTGGGTCATTGGGCTTGCATGAGAAAAGAAAGATATTTGGCGTGAAGGCAGGAGGGTGGCTTTTGGGGTTTCTGGCGTACATAGATCTGATGTCCTTCTACCCTTCCTTGCTGCACTGCATTTGGCTTTATAGGTTCCGTATGAAGTGCCACCTTTGCCCCAACTACATTGAGATGCAGACCGATCCTGCCAGTTGTGACTATGTCATTGTCAGTGGTGCCCGGCGCAAGGAAGAGCGCTGGGATGCTGAAGCTAGTGAACAAGTAGTGGCCACAGGTAAGTTTTGGGACCAGTAGCATCCTTGAGCATTCCTTCAGCTGGGCCTGGCTTGATGTGTGTGTCTGATTCTTAGCCCACGAGGAGAAGCAGAAGCTGGAGACAGATGCTATGTATCGATTGGAGCACGGCACACAGGATCAGAGCAAGCTTCAGCGAGCTCTCCCTACCCTCCAGAATATTCAGGAGGCTCAAAGTGCCTGGAAGGATGATTTCGCGATCAACAGCCTTCTTCGTCGGAAATTCAGGGTAAATGATGGGAAGATGCAATAGGCAGGGGTGTCAAACTGCCAGCCCGCGGGCCGGACGCATCATCCAGAAGCCGCGCCCACCCCATTGCCGGCAATGGCAAAACCGGCCCGATATGTTGCGTGACATCACATGACGTCGTGAGTTTGACATGTCTGCAATAGAGGAAGGGAGAAGGATTACTTTGAATATTCCTAGAATGATGTTTCTAAAGTTCAGCAAATGAGAACAGAATAAAAGAACTGCAATTGCATTTCAAGTTATAATACATTTTTCTTTTAAAAAATATGATAAACTTTTTGTCGTTGTCATTTCCCATTATGATTGTATATCTCATTTTTTAAAAAAAGAATTGTTTCTGTATACATATTTGCTCTCCTCCCATTCTTCCATTTTACAGTGAGGGACAAAATATTTTTGAAATGTGTTTTTCTGGATTTTGTTGTTATTCTGTCTCTCACTGTTAAAATAAACCTACCATTAAAATTATAGACTGATCAAATGTACGTGGGCAAACGTACAAAATCAGCAGGGGATCAAATAATTTTTTCCCTCACTGTGTCTATCCTGTTTCTTTAAAGAAAACTCCACATTTTTATTTTCTATTTTTTTTCTTCATTTGTAATACAAGTATTTTCAAATTCAGGATAGCGGGATTTTATGCTATACTATTCTATTACATAAGCCGTTTATATAACAACCAACTTTTATATAGGAAGTCATAATGTAATAACTACAGATAACCAAGCAAAAGCCTGAAAAGGGAAATCTTAGATTAAAACTCTGGACTTGTTCTTATTTTATGTTTCTTAAGTTTCTTCGGGATAGCTAGTATTTAAAAAGGTGTCACTTTTTCTCCTGTATTTTTCAAACGTATTTTCAAACGTATTTTCTCTTTGTCCGATGCTTTATTTTTCCTTGCTCCAGCTTCATGGCCATGCTGGGTGTGCCTCGTGTGTCATGCTGCTTCTTTCTCCTTTCCCTTCTCATAGGAAGAGAAGAAAGTTCTGCAAGAAGAAGAGAAAAAAGACCTTGCTTTACAGGCAAGAGCAAACCTAAGCATCCCACTTGTGCAGGAAGCTGAAGAAGATCGGCATCTGGCAGCGCTCCTCAAGTACCAGAGCCTTGACTGTACGTAAAGGGGTCTTTGCAGGGGGAAGGGTGTGGGGCTCAAGGATGGGACTTCCTCATACAAGAATGCATCCTTGATAAAAGTGTCACATTTTGTTGGCTGCACTATAGATGGAGTTGTTTTTAAGAGGTGGGTTTGGATTGCGGCTCCCACTTCCCAAACAGTGCTTCTTAATCTCCTTTATTATATAAGGGTAAAATAAATACTAATTTTAACAAGATATACCAGTGATGGCGAACCTTTTAGAGACTGAGTGCCCAAACTGCAACCCAAAACCCACTTATTTATCGCCGGGTGCCAGTTGGGCATGGTCACCTTGATGTTGCTCATGGGGAGGTACGCCTGTGGGGGCTGGGAAGGGTTGGGGGAGATCCAGGGGGTCTCTGGCAGGTGGGGTGGTGGGCAGGAGGCTTGTCCTGCAGGATAAGGCGAGGCAGGGCGGGGGTGCCATTGTCGCAGGGCAAGGCGAGGCAGGGGCAGGGGCGGCTGCTGCCTAACACTGTTGGCCCTCGCACACAGAGGCCAACGAGCGCATGGGGGCCGGTAGTGTCCGTCAGCAGCCACAGCCTGCCAGCCCCTCGACTGGCGCACTCTGGGGCTCCGCAGCCCACCGCCATCAGTTCAGAGAAGCTGCCTCTGAGCTGGATGGCCAGCCAATAGCTGAGGAGGCGATGCAGTGTGTCATGCCCGGGAAAAGAAGAGCATGTGAGGGCAGGAGGGATGGGACCAGGGGGAGGGAAACCAGCTGTGCTGGGATGCATCTGGCCACGTGGGACCTCGGCGAGTTAGTGGGCAGCTGGTTGAAGAGGGACGGTTGCCATCTTGGGGGCATGGCGCGCATGCCCACAGAGAGGGCTCTGAGTGCCGCCTCTGGCATGTGTGCCATAGGTTCGCCACCACTGAGATATACTATATATTTTGGTAGTAAATTGATTCCACACCTTTGCTGCCATGAATGTACATTTTTTAGTAATTGCTGAATTTCTGTCATCTTCCTGCATGCAGTGATTATTTTTAGGACTTTTCCTATAGAGGTGGAAAACTGGTCACCCTATAGCCCAAATACAGAAATATGTTACTAATAGAGTGAGCTGAGTTTCATAACTAGAACTCTAGTTAGTCCTATTTTTTGTCATTGTAGCATGCTTGCTTCTTCCTTTTTCAGCCTATGAAGACAAACAGAAACAAAAACGCAATGAGATTGTGGATCGCCCATGGTTCTCAAGTCCCAAAACCAATGACACCCTGAAAAAGTTGGCATTTGTTGGGAAATCTCCATCTAACAAGTCCCTGGGTGTTGTGTGTCGGAAATCCAAGGATACCAAGCAAGTTTCCAGTGAAGGGGAGAGCAACATCTCTGATGCCCCAGCACAAGTCAACAGGCGGGACAGTGGAGCAAGTGAAATGCTCCTTGACTCTTCCACTAGGCCTTCAGGAGACTCCCAAAAGGCTGAGGGAAGCCCTCCCTCTAGTTTTGCTGCTTCTCTGGTTGCAGATTATTCAGACTCTGCATCTGGTTCAGAAGCTGAACTTTGAACTGAGTTTATGGGTAGAGAGAAAATATGGCCGGAAATGGTGTGCAAATCAGTGTCTTTTTTTCCCTCCAAACAAACAAAAGTACTCTTTGCAGATGGTACATGAAGCAGTTGGAATACGTGAATAGAAATGTCTATGCGTCTGTGAAAAAGAGAGAGAAGAGTGCACAAATTTTGCTGTCTTTTCTTATATCATCTGCACTTGTTCCCCAATTAAACATAAGCCCACTGTTTTGTCCCAAGTATCATAAAATAAACTGCTATCTCCTTAGCCTTTCTTTTTTAGTTATGCCCAGAATAGAGCAGTTATATGCTATTAATTATAGGAGCTGTGTGTGCCAGGAAGGGGGAAAGAAAGATAAAATGAAGGATCGTCTAGCTCACAGGTCTGCAACCTGCGGCTCCGGAGCCGCATGCGGCTCTTTGAGCCTTCCCCTGCGGCTCCCAGCCTCCTCTGCCTTTGCAGAGAGAGACAGAGACAGAGAGAGGAATTGTGCTTCCCTGCTTCTCTCTCTCTCTCTCTCTGTGTGTGTGTGTGTGTGTGTGTTTGTGTTTTTTTTGTGTGTGTGTGTATGTAAAAGAGAGTGGACTCACAGTGTTTTCCGAGGAGCTGAAAAGCTTACTGGGCGGAGCTCCTCCCTTTGCTGCGTCTCTGCAGGAAGCAGGAAGGGCAGGAGAGAGCTAGCTAGCCCAGCTAGGCTGACTCAGGAATTCTGGGAGTTGAAGTCCGTGAGTCATAAAAGAGACGAGGTTGTCTATCCCCTTATCTTGTTGGACAACAGCTTGAAGCTTGTCAGGTGAGCAGCAGATAGGAGAGGGGGGGAGAAAGAGAGAGAGAGGGAGAGAGAGAGAGAGAGAGGAAAGAGAGAGAGCGGGGGAAGAGGAGTGGCAGGCAGACCAAGGGCAGAGAGAGGGAGGGAGGGAGAGAGACAGAGAGACCCTTTTGACATCTAAAATGAAGATAACATTGCATATATCCTTTTTTTACCTGTGTGTGTATGTGTGTGTGTGTATATATATATATATACATACATACATATACATATATACAAACACACACACACAAACACACACACACAAACACACACACACCTATAATAAAGGTAAAAAATATATGCAGTGTTATCTTCATTTTAGATATCAAAATGGTTTTGCGGCTCCCAGTGTTTTGTTTTTGGTGGGAAACGGGTCCAAGTGGCTCTTTAAGTGTTTTGGGTTGCCTACCCCTGGTCTAGCTTAGTGTTTCTTGAACTTCTTTGCTCCCAGCTTTTGTTCGGGTTATATTGATATTTACCATATTAAAAATTTCACATAATTGTTTAATTGAATCACCTGAATCAGAATAGAGCTGGAAGGGACCTAATTGGGTTCACAAAGCAAGCTTATTTGGTTTTAGCATAATCATATTTGTAAAGAACAGCCTTCTGCAGCTGAGTTGTACTAGTAACTTAATGAACATGTGTTTTTTCTAGCAGGAATATGGAAGTGTTCCCCTTCTGGTGTGTCTGAGATATGTCAGAGAATTCCCATTCATGTACTAATCAAGCTAGACCCTGTTTAGCTGTTCAGCCTAGCAAACCAACCAGGTGTTGACTTCAGTTGAGATATTGTTTATGAACCATAGTTAAAAACTTCTCGTATAGTACAGATACCACCTCACTGATCCAGATTGACTGCTATTTGGAAACAAGTAAAAAACATTCTGAAGTTATAGCAGCTTTCTAAGAATAAATAGTTATTTGATTTACATTTTTATCATAAAATATTTTTATTATAAAAACTATTCATATTTTTCAATCAAATCCAAAGAAAGCAGCCTGCTAAACTCTAAGCAAATAGAAAAAAAACACTTGTGGATCTATAAGGGCCAGCCTCCCCCAAGTTTTTTGAAGAAATTGATTGTAAATAAGCACTTACAGTTCACCTAAGGACGTTTTCAATTCGGTCAGGGATTACAGCAATTTTGATCTGAAAGAGATAGTAGGAGAGCCTGTTAGTAAGTTTCATCTGATGAAATGAACTGCAATTCAGGAAAATGTGTTAAGTCAGAAAAGGCCTGCCAGACTCCTGATCTGAAAGAACAATTCTGATGTTCCTATTCAAGCTTCATAAGAGCCAAATACAGTACTGAACATAACTAAGACTGCAATTCTGACAAGGATGGTTTAATGGTCAGTCAGATAAGGTATTGCCTAAGTCTGATAACTGGATCTTGGCAGATGCTCTGTGACAGAACAAAGAAAAACTATGTCAAACAATTCTCTATCACATGCCTGTTATGGGCATAGGAATCATTAATCAGGATTATCACACTAACATCTTCAATTGATCTTAAGCTGAGCAAAGAAGCCTCGTTCACTGGAAAACATACTTAAAATTATAGGAGATACCAATAGCATTTTTTTTTAATGGAACTGCTGGTGCATCCTCTGTCCAATCAGTCTGAATTCTCATAAAGTCAAGAGGTGGGGGAAGTGTTTGACCTTTTCATTAAACTTTGAACGTTGGAAGTGTTACACCTGCATTCTTAGTAGCATTTTGCTTTAATTATAAACCACTTGATTATTTTACATAAATGATATAAATCTGATTTTGTCTGCTTGCCTTGAGGGATTTTTTTTTTCTTCTTGATCAGCAAACAGTTCTGCACTGCTGCAAGAGCTATCTCTAAGAGGATGAGAGAACTGAGGCACTTGCTGTTGCTGGATGAGAATAAGTTAGTACAGACATGGAATTAATCACGTCAGACCAGAAAATAAGAACTTTCACAAATAGCAATGCTAATTCGTGTTGACACTATTATTTCATCCTTGCCAAAGGGCGTAAATCCAATGGTGCTGTGACAAAGCTTTCCAGCTAGAAAACAAAGAGGCTGCCCAGAAATGAAACTCAATTCATGTAAAAAACAAACCTGCCGATTCTCCGGGCGAACTGACAAGGCCAAGGAAATTAAAATAACAAGTGTTGTAACGTGGTTATTTAGCTACGAGGTATAACGCAACACTTTTGGGAAAAGAAGCAAATCACGTCTCCCACAATCGAACTGTTGTCTTCCTATATATAACCCCTGTGGGTTAGCCACGAACAAATGGTTGATAATTGTGGCCCATTAATGGCTGCTTTTGTTGCCGTCGGCATCGATCCCTTCCAAGTCTTCAGTTAAAAAGCGAATGCTTTTGCATGCATCAATGCAAGCAGCGTCGCTTTAGCTCCCAACTTCGTGGCTGCGCCTAAACTGCTAAGCTCTTTGACGGCGGCGGCGCTTTCTATCCCAGCAGCGCCTGGGCAGTTCCGGCTGGGAGCGGCGGACGAGTCGGGCCGAAAGCTCCGGGATCGATGGCTCAGGGCAAGCAGAAATTCAAGGCGCGCAAGACGGCCGCTGCGGGGAAGAAGGCGCCGGCCGCTACCCGTGGACCTCGCAAGGGAGGTATAGCTGGGAAAAGGCGCCGGGGGCTGAACTAGTAGCGCTAGCCTGGCTTCGTCCACAAAGAGGAAGCAGGCTGAGAGTCACCCATCTTTCTTTTGGTTCGTAGGAAGAGCGGGTTTCTTATAAGCTCTGGTTAAGCAAAATCTAGGTAGGATAAGGGTGGCGTGGATAAGTAGGATAAGTGGTGGTAATAAACTTGTGTTAGCAGTGTTACCATCACGGTCCTAATCGGTTGACGAATAGCGGTCAGTTACAACCCTAGTCATCATTGGGGTCGTCTCAGTATTTAGGGAGTGCCTGAAAGCTCGTTGCAGCTATAAGCTATCTATGCTGATCTTCAGAAAGTCTCTTTACTTCCCTGAAGCTTCCGTTTAAGAAGTGCTTCTTGGGAGTGAAACTTGTGACAAAAACAAGACAGTGTTTCTCAAAATTGGGCAACTTTAAGAGGTGTGGACTTCCAACTCCCAGAATGCCTGGCTGGGGAATTCTGGAACTTGCTCCATGCTTCTTAAAGTTGCCCAGTTTGAGAAAGACTGTTTTAGTGCATCAAAGATGATGCATCTTGTTGAGGCAGGTTGTGGATGATCCACATACCCCACAGGCTTCATATTCTTAGGTAGGACTGGGTTCAAATCCCTGCAGTTATGAAGCTTCCTGAATGTCTTTGGTCCACTTGCTGTCTCTGAGCCTCATCTACCTTAGAAGTTGCTCTAAAACAGTGCTTGAAGCTGTTTAAGGGTAACACAAAAAACAAAGTGTTACAGAGCTGAAGCAGAGAAGTAGCCTGCTTACAACACTAGCAGTTACTTTATTTTTGAAACCAGCCTTGAGGGTTCCTTGGTGCTCTTGGAGCTTGGTTTCATTACCCAAACTAGGTAACATTATCAGTGGTAATCTAACATCACTAGCACTGATAATGCTACCTAGTTTGGATAATAAAATGTCTGCAAGAAAATAGCCAAGCCCAGAGAGCACCGAGGACCCCTTATTTCAACTCTGAGCTACAAATGTCCTTTATTGACACCAACTTTGTTTAGTACAAGTTTGCGTGATCCTTAGGGCTATTATGGAAGATTTCTAAACACAACCTTTGCAAACACACTTCCAATTATTCATTTGGTTTTTTAAAAATACTTTGAACAGCAACAGTAGTTGAGTAGCACGCAGTGTGCTAAGAACTTTTTCAGAGTGGCAGTAAGAATATGTGTTGGACAGATTGTACTCTAAACAACAGCCACTCCCCCAATCTGGTGCTTTCCAGATGTGGTTGGATTCCTTCACAGACTGCTAACATGCAGGCTGCAAAATATGGGAAATAAGTCTTCCATACCTGGAAGGCACCCTATTGGGGAAATCTAACAAATGTAATAGAAATTAATCTAGTGTAGTTTTTTCATGAGAGATTGATGCAAGAACAAAATATATATTTAATTATATGGTTCCTCTCACAGGTCGTGTAATTGCACCCAAGAAAACCCGTGTGATCCAGCAACAGAAAGTGAAAAAGGTATGCTATCTCTCATTCTCAGCCCATTGCCCACCAATAATTGCTTTCGATGGCACAGTTTGTTTTTACAGTTTTTTACAGTTTGTTTTTTAGTCTATGGATGTGGCATAATTCATAATTGTATCCTTTTCTGAACTTGAATAGTTTAGCCATTTATCTATGGTCTGATAATTACTGCGCAAGTGTAGCCCTGGAAGAGGGTTCAAAACATGTACATACAAAATTTGGCTGCAGAATTTTTAATTAGACAACTGACTATGAAGATGTTTTGTCTAAATTATAGAACTTCATTAACTGTCTTTTTGTTTGTCAGTACAATTAAAAATGATGACGTAGATTTTAAAACCCTATATGGCTACTGAAAAGGAGTATCTATTCCCATAGTAACTTGCATAGATGTTAAAAATATATGCTGGTGCTCCTGATAGGTGCAGTCTAGCCTCTTAATATATAGGTACCGGAAGCCAAATGGCATCTTTTGTCTGGCCTTCACAAGATATTGCTATTGTGTAATATTCAAGATCAACTGTATGAAGAACTCTTTCACTTTGCCTAATGGCAGAGCTGGATTTGATGATGTTTGAAGGGTTAGTCCACTCAAGTACATCATCTACAAACCTTCCTTCCCAGGGAATATAACCTGGTGCTTTCCTTGTCTGAAATTTTTGATGTTAAGAAATCCTTTTTGAAAAATCCTTGGAAATATATATATTTTTGGATTCAGGTTGCTGTTTTCCTTTTTTTTTTTTTAATGTTACTCTGTGTTGACTGAATGTGTATTTTATGAAGGACAACCAAATAACACAAAAGATCCTGTTTTTAGGGAGTTGAAAAGTACCTTTGTTCATAAATCTAGCAAGACATTTGAATATTTACAGGATTAAGCAATTATTGCTTAATTGTCATGAGTTGTCTAACTATCATTCTATAAACTGAGCCTTTTTCTCTTCCTCTCTCTGTAGAATCTGGAGGTTACCATTCGTAAGAAGATTGAGCATGAGGTGGTAATGAAGGCCAGTGCTAAGTTACCCAAGAAACTTAGTTTGTTAAAGGCTCCCAAAATGAAAACAAAGAAAGATCCAGGTCACTCTAGCAAGTCATAACAATGTTTCATGGACTGAAATTGGGGATCATGGCCTGCAATACATTTCAGTTTGACTGTGTCCATGTTATCTGTGATTTTTGTGGGGTGATCATCTAGTGTGCTACGTGTTTCAGTTGGCAGAGACAAAGAGTTTTCTTCTGCATAAGAATCCACCTGGCTAGTTCCTTGTCTGATACTGGATTGTGGGCTAATACAAAAGGTATTAGATTACTTTCAAACTTGACTTACTCTAGTTTCAAGTTTTCTTCGTTTGTTTTTGGGTTTATGATTTCAGTGAAAGTTATTTTTTCTTTCTAGTATAACCTGGGCCAGATTTGCAACTGGCTTAATTGTGTTAGACCAGAAAGGAATATCTGGTATGAATATTCAGTGGGGGGAACATAATAACTCCTAAGCTCTTTCCTGATGATTATCTGCTGAAAGTCTGCTTTAGTCTAGGGCTAGGGCAGCATGTTTCTAATTGGCCCCGGGTAGTGTGGCACTAAGAAGAATGAGTTCACCCCAAAGAAGAGCCACTAGATTACATTTCCCTGCTGGAAAAAAAACCTCAGGTCTATCCATATGATCTAAATTCTGCAAAATGGAGGTTTAGGTTTATTCAGGTTGTCTTACAGGTATTTAAAATTGACACATGGGCTCTTATGGAACCACAAAATTTAATGTGTTTACATCAGACATGGATTCACATTTCTCTGCTCAGTTTTGAACATGGGGCAGAAATGGCAATCTTGAGCTTATTCTCAATTGTGGGAACGTGATTCCTTCTGGAAAGTAGCTTGGCTTATTGTCAGCTCTCTTCTCTCTGCTTTCACCTGTTGCCTTCTGATCACTATAATATAGTCGTGATGCTTTTCTGCTTGCTGATTCTTGTCCTAATTATCTCATCCCTCATCTGCTTATTGTAGTTGAACCCTCCTGCCCCCACAAATTGCATAGATAGCTATAATAAACCACAATGAGGCCAAAATGATGACATGTGTGCACTGGCATCATCCTGCAGTTGCCCACATTTTGTTCTTGTGTCACATTGTTTGAGGCAAGTAACAAATTGTGATTTTGATATGATGATGTCATTAGACACTTGTCATACTTTGTCCCCTGCCTGCAGTTATGCAAATTAGTTCAAGAGTGCAAGCTGTGAATCTTTCAATGTATTTTACCACACTTTAAAGAACACTAGACAATAATTTGGAATTATGGCATTTTTTTCTAATCAGCAATCCACCCCCCTCCTTTTTAAAGAAATTTAATTGCTGCAAATGTTTGCTTATTACTAAACTTTGCCTTTGTACTGCATTAAAAAATAATATAGGAAGTACATTCTTAATTAGGTAAATATATTTAAGCTGTTCTGTCAGTTATTCTGTTCTTTGATTACATGCTTACCAAATTAAAAGATTACTGAAAGAATGTATAAATCTCCTAAAGTGAATACAATAGAATATTTTTATTATGGTCACTGACCAAAATAAAAACACTTTATGCAACAAAAACACATTAACAATAAAGTAAAAACAGAATACGATAAAATATTAAAATTGGTGGTAGGATATAAAGTCTGCCTAATATTTTAGGTAGTATAACAAAATTTAGCTACATTCAACTCTAAAAGATCAAAAATTCCCAGGTGTTTAAAGTGATGTATAAATCTGCAATATTCTGCTTGTGCACTTTCTGGATATTAGCCATTGCAGGCAATAGGTTGCTGGATCAAAAAAAGGTTTTTCTGTTTACTGAGCGTTTAGGACATGAGCAAAACAGAAATACTTTAAAGCCCTACTGAAGAGCAATGCTTCAGGCCATAGGGCTGTGTTTGCACTGTGCTTGAAGGCAAAATTATTCCAGCAAACCCCTCCCCCCCATCTTCCTTTAGATTGAAGTTCAGAGTGGAGGTAAAAAGTAGGAGAATTTATCAATATGTCTCAGTCCTTTGGAACTGCTACTTGATATCATAGCAGCATCCCCATTCTAGTTTGGCGCTTGTCTCCTGCAGAGTTTCCCCGTTTTGTTTTTTTTAATAAAAGTTGGTGAAGCAATAGGGGATATTTGTTGAGCACAGGATTTTGGAAAAGGGGAGAGGGATATAGAAAACCTAGAAGTGGCATGGGGGAATGGAATGGCATGATTATACCTCTTCACAGAAGCACTAAGCAATTTTATTTGCCGACTCCCGTTTGCACACTATAAGCAATCCTGCAAGTTTTGCTAAAAAAAAAAAAAAATTAAAAAATCCAGCTGTCAGAATCCAATTATATTTCATCTTTAAATTATCAAATATAGAAACTCCCAATTCTGCCTTCTCTGGATTCTGCCATAAGAGGGAGAGAAGGGGGAGAACAAAGGGGCTTTATGGCCCTCACTTCCTTCTTTACACTTCAAAGAGCTGAATGCTGAATGTGTGTTTATTGTAACCTCGAAGCGTTAACATACCAAAGGAGGGAAGTTGCCTTTCATGTAGTTATCTGAAGTCTCCATCCAGACGGAAGAAAGAAGAAAGGGAGTGGAATTGTGATACTTGAAACTATCACTGGAAGGGGGGTTGATTGGGTGGGACTACTGGGGAACCCCTTAAAACCTTGAATGGGAGAGCTTGGACCCCAAGTCCTGTCTAGCATGCCTGCAACCATTTTCTCTTAATAAAGGATTCCTGTTGGAAGAATTATTCCAAGAGTTCTGTCTTCTTAAGATGCAAAGTGGGGTGGGTCCTTACATTAGACAGGACTTGCAAAATTAATCCACCTGGAAGGGAGACCCTTGCCGGGGGATTTTGCAAAAATTTACCATGTCAGACAATGGAGCAAGAGAGGGGAAAAACTCCCTGGAAAGAGAGCCACTGACCCAGCTGGAACCTTGCCATATGTTGGGATCCGAGAGGCCAGATTCCTCAGGAGAAGAAGTGGTGGAGACACAGGACCACAAGCCTCGCTGGTCGACGGGCGTTGGAAAGAAAAGTGAGTGGGGAAAGGAATCAAGAAAGGTGACCCTGAGACGGGGGACCAAGCAACCAGAATGGAAGCAGGAGATGGAGAAATCCCTGCACGCAAGTGAAGAGGGAGGAAGCTGGGCACCGTACTCAGACTGGATCCTAGAGAAAGCTATTGACCTGATGAAGAGAACTCTCAGCTCCCTAGGAGAGGAGAATACTGAGCCCTACGGCCGCCCCAGTTCCTGGAGCCGCAAAGGGAGAGACACCGAGGGGGACATGGAACCTGCAACCCCAGGGACATCTACTGATCCAGGAGCCCCCACCCCCTACCGGACCACAGATGGCAATCTGGACGGAAGACACTACCACCCACAACAGAGGCACCGATCCATTCCAAGACGTCCACCGTTGGAAGTGAAATTCAAAGGGGAGCCAACACGCTTGGGGTTTTTCCTAACCCAAGTCCTCAGCTACATGGAGGAATATGGGCAGGATATTCCCAGCGACAAAGCCCGCATCCGGATCGTGCAATCTGCCCTGGATGGACCAGCTGCGGATTGGGTAGTGAACTTGCATGACTCCAATGCCCCAGAACTCAGTAACTTCAACCGTTTCATGTCCTCTTTGAGAAGACGATTTGAAGACCCCCTGGCTGATCGCAAAGCCCGTGAAAGAATAACAACGATGAGGCAGGGCAAACGCCCAGTGGCTGAGTATACACAAGAATTCCGGGCCATTGCCAGCAAACTGAATTGGCCAGAAGACATCCTCCTTGGCCATTTCAAAGACGGACTAAACTATGATCTATATGATGCTTGCCTGCCCCGAGGGGACCCACATCGACTTGAGGAATGGTACGTCTTGGCAGAGGAAGCAGAGATCGACATATTGAAGAGGCACCGCCGAGGAAAACAATGGAGCCGCCCCCCGCCTGAGCTGACACACCAACCAGTGAAATCATCGGATACAGCCAAGAAGCAAATGGGGTGTTTCAAGTGCGGAAGAGAAGGGCATCGAGCTGTAGAATGCCGCTCAAAGGCCCCCCAGCACAACCCAGACAGATCCCCAATCAACAAAACCGGAAAGTATTCAGCTAAGCCAAAAGAAACAGCCATGAGAATGATGGAAATTGCAGAAACCCCCACCTCTGCTCACCAAGGGGAAAGAACTCCAGCCTACACCACAGGGACGGTGGATGCCTCAGATGACAGCTCGGAGGGCGAACCCCTGGTAAGTGGACGCATCACACCCATCTTCAAAACAGTGACTATATTAATCCCCCCCATGCCCGAAGCTGTGAAGGTGAAAGCCTTAATAGACTCTGGCTGCACCCGCTGCCTCATTAGCCCAACACTAGTGGGGAATCTGGGCATCCCATCCAGGAGACTGGAACAACCAATCTCATTTGGCCAGCTAGATGGATCCATAGCAGGGGGGGTGCCAGCTACCCTAGCCACTCTGCCAATACACCTCTCCCTGGGCAACCATGAAGAGGACTTAACGTTTGTGGTGACCCCAGGTATGGAATGCCCAATGATTCTAGGGATGGAATGGTTGAAAAAATGGAACCCCTGGGTAAATTGGAGGACGACAGAAATCAAATTCCCGAAGGGGGACCCTATGGACTTAAAACCCCAAGGGAGGCTACCAGAATCAAGAATAGAAAAAGCATCCATAGGAGAGGAAAAAGATTAACAGAAATACCAGAGGAATATAGGACCTTGCTGAAGTCTTCAGTGAGGAGAGGGCGAATGAGCTTCCCCCCCACCGACCCACAGACTGTACCATTGAATTCAAGCCTGGGGCAAAACTCCCGAAGCCCAGATTATACTCCATGAGCCCAAAGGAGAAGGAGGAAATGGAAAGATTTATAAAAAAAAACCTGGAGAGAGGTTTCATTGAACCAGCTAAGCCTAAAGTGGCTGCCCCGGTCCTTTTTAGAGAGAAGAAGGATGGCTCTTTACGTTTATGCGTGGATTATAGGGCCCTGAACACAATCAGTGAAAGCAACCTATACCCGCTGCCCCTCATGAAAGACATGCTGTCACACCTATCGAAAGGGAAAATTTTTTCTAAACTAGACTTAAGGGAAGCTTACTATCGCGTGAGAATCAAGGAAGGGGACGAATGGAAGACTGCATTTAACTGCCCCATGGGGTGCTATCAATTCAAAGTCTTGCCATTTGGATTACAAGGGGGCCCTGCAGTCTTTATGCAATTAATCAATGACGTTCTAAGGGAGCACCTGTTTAAGGGGGTCCTTGTTTACTTGGACGACATTCTTATCTTTACCGAAACAAAAGAAGAACACGTCAAACTTGTCAGAGTGGTTTTAAAGAAGCTGCGAGCCGCTCACCTATATGCCAAACTCTCAAAATGCGAATTCCACCAGGAAAGGATAGACTACCTAGGCTATCGCATATCCCCACAGGGCATTGAAATGGACCCAGAGAAGGTCAGAGCAGTATTAGATGGGCACCACCCCGCACAAGAAAGCAACTACAAAGTTTCCTGGGCTTTGCAAATTTTTACCGCCAATTCATCCCCTCATTTGCCCAGATAGCCTTGCCCCTCACTAACTTACTAAAAACGAAGGGAACATCCTCAGTAAAACCTAGCCAGCCACTAACATGGACAATGGAGTGCCAAGCAGCGTTTGAGAGACTAAAGAGACTTTTTTCTGCCGAACCAGTACTAAGGCACCCAGACATGGACAAACCCTTCATAATACAGGCAGATGCAAGTGATGTGGCAGTGGGGGCTGTGCTATTACAAGAAAATGATGATGCAGTATTGCAACCCTGTGCATATACATCCAAGAAACTCACGGAAACAGAACAGCGCTGGCCCGTATGGGAGAAGGAGGCTTATGGGATACGTTGGGCATTACTCACATGGCGACAGTTCCTGGAAGGCAACAAAATCCCCTTCCAGGTGTGGACTGATCACAAAAATTTAGAAGCCCTGAAAACTTCCAGGAAACTCAATCCCAAACAAGCCCGCTGGTCCCAGCATTTTCACCAATTCCAATTTAAGCTCAAACATTTACCAGGAAGAAAGAACTTCCTGGCAGATGCTCTATCTCGCATGCCCCAATATAACAGCGCACGAACCACAGACTCTAGACCAATAATGGCAGAGTCACAACTGGCAGCACCAGTAACCACAAGAACCCAAGCCAAATTAAAACCACAACTGGACAGCCAAACTGGAATTGAATTCAGAAAAAGTTTGGAAACAGATGATTGGTTCCAGAAAAACAAAAATGTGTGCACAATGAAAGACGGGTTGCCTTGGATAGGGGAAAAGTTATATATACCAACAACTCAAAGAGTAACTTTCATGCACCTTTGCCATGACACAAAATCAGCAGGGCATTTTGGATTTGTAAAAACTTTACATTTAATTAAACGGCAATTTTGGTGGCCATCCATGAAAAAGGACATTGAAAGTTATATAGCCAGTTGTCCAAAATGTGCCACGGCAAAGAGGTTGCAAGGGAAAGTGCCAGGACTATTGCAAACAGTGGCAAGTCCCTCAGCCCCCTGGAGAGAAATAGCCATGGATTTTATAGTGGAATTGCCAGAAAGCAATGGGAATACTGTGGTCTGGACGGTCACGGACTTGTTTTCCAAACAGGTGCACTTTATCCCTTGCCAAAAGATTCCCACTGCAAAAGCCTTAGCAAAACTTTTCATCCAACACATTTACAGATTGCATGGGGCACCCCAACGCATCATCTCTGACAGGGGGGTGCAATTTACGTCTGCATTTTGGAAGGAATTTTTATCCCTCTTAGGAACCACTCAGGGACTGACATCTAGCCACCACCCTCAAGGAAATGGGGGGGCTGAAAAAATGAACTCAGTACTTAAGCAATATTTAAGATGTTTTCTTAGTTTCCAGCAGACCGAGTGGGCGGACTTACTCCCCTTTGCAGAAGTTGCCTACAATAATGCAGTCCACTCCAGCACAGGTTACACTCCTTTTCAAATAGCCACCGGTCAAAGTTTCAACCCCATGCCAGAATTAACCCCAAACGAACCAACGATCCCCTCGCTGAAAGAATGGATGGAAAAATTACAAAACACCTGGCCAATAGTCAGAAAAGCACTAGATGAAGCTAGGCAGGCTTACAAAACACAAGCCGATAAAAAAAGGGTTGAGCCTACACCATTCATTATAGGAGAAATGGTGTACTTATCTACAAAATACCTAAAGTCCCTACAGCCCTGTAAAAAACTTGGACCAAAATATATAGGACCTTTTCCAATTAAAAGAATCATAAATCCAGTA